GAAAGAGTGGGAATATGCCACGTAAGGTGAGAATGGGGCCAGATATCCATCCTCAGGGAAAGCACAGAGGCCAGAGACTTTCTGGTCCAACGCTCGGCCTGAATCTTGGCAGTGTTTCCACGACTCATCAGCACTTATTGAAAAACCCTGGCAAAGTGCTGTTAATCAAAGCAAAGGAAGCATGGAATTTATGCACTAAGTAAAAACCTCGCATCTCCTCTGGGTAACAGGGGGTTGTGCTTTCTTAGCCTGCCCTGGGTAAGGCCAGGGCAACGTGAAGCAGCCTCCGAGACTGGGGCTCTTGGCGCTGAGGCCTTATAACCGTTTGCACAAGACCCAGCCTGGACCTGAGACTCTTACACAAGCCCGTGCCTTTCGAGGCCTGTGACCCCCAGGCCACCTGGCATTTGTGCCAGACCTCCATCCCAATTCTCACAGAGAAGACAGGGCGACGAGGCAGCCAGCGGAGACGAATGCCCACCAGCACCTCACTGGGCAGACGTGGCAGGGCAGCCGTCCCTTCGTGCTGCCCTCCTCGGGGACACAGAGCACACCTGAGACCCGACCCACTTCCTCAGGCGGCCTAAGAAGGCGGGCCCTGGACAGCTGGAGGGGAGCACCTGGGCCGCCGACTGGGCTCTTGCTCCCCGCGGTCTGGCAGGCACACGCACCGCCCCCTTGCTCTGGGGGGCCCACCAGAGCCCACCTCGTAGCTCCTGGCACTGGCGCTGGCTGCCCGCTCCAGTTCCACGCGGGCCCTCTTGTGACTCAGCTCCATCTGCGTCTTCTCCCGCTCCACCTGGATGAGGTGGGACCTGGAACGGATCTGCTCTGCTCGCTCCTCCAGCTGACCGGGTCACGTGCAAAGGAAAGACAGGTCCTCAGTAGCTGCGTCAGCCAGGCGAGGGGGCTCACTCAACACTCCCTCACCGAGCACCTGCTCCCAGCAAGGCCCTCGCTCAGCCCTGGGGAGGAAGGAACACTGGGTCCCCAGGTGGGAAAGGGGTGCAGGGAGGCAGCAAGACAAGAGAAGGTGACAAAGGATGAAAGAGGAAGGTGCGTTTTCAGATGACAGTGTGAGGGTTTGTTTCCTATGCCGTGTAACAAACTACCACCAACACAGCAGCTTAAACGCCCATATACTGGCTGTCGGCTTCATGGGTCAGAAGGCCGGGCACCCAGAGCCAGGTTCTCCGATCAGGGTCTCAACATCTAAAATCCATGCAGTCGGCAAGCTGTGCTCTCCCCTGTAGCTCAGGAGCCTCTTCCACGCTCCTATTTCCTTGCTGGCTGGAAGGCCCAGGCTGCTGTCAGCTCCCAGAGGCTGCCCACATTCCCTGTCACATGGCCCTCTCCACCTCCAATGCCAATAAGGGAGAATCTCGCACGTGTGGAATCCCTTTCCTGCTCTGCAACTCTGACTTCTCTGTCTGATCTCTGGACCCAGATTTTAAAGACTCACCTGATTGGGTCAGGCCCACCCAGGTACTCTCCCTACCTTAAGGTCAACTGATTGGAGCTATTAATTCTATCTGCAAAACCGCGGGGCCACAACACCTAGTTAGTGTTTGATTAAGTGGGAGAAACTGCAGTCCACCAGGGGCCAGCAGTTTGGGGCCCATCTCAGAAGTCTGCGTCCCCCAGAGGGTAGGTAAATAAGGTGGAACTGAAGCTCTGAAGGGCCTCAGAAGATACAGCCAACAGTACCACCAAATCACTGACTGCAAGGGCCTTGTCTTCAGGGGGCTAGAGCCCAACCCCTCCAAGAACGGCCTGCAGACCAGCAACACAGCATCTCCTGGGCACTTAACAGAAATGCAGTCTCGGGCCACACCACACAGATACCAAATTGGAACCTTCCTTTTAAACATATCTTCAGGTGATTCATATGCACGTTAAAGTTCAAGATGCTCTGGGCTATAGAAAGTGGTTCTCATTTCAATCAGGGACATGTGGCACTGTCTGGGGACACAACTGATCGTCACAAGAAGGGGCGACACTCTGTGTTTGCTCCTGGCATGTAGTGGGTAGAGGCCAGGGATGTTGCTAAACATCCCACGATGCACAAGAATGTCCTGCAAAACAAAAAATTATTCAGCCCAAAATGTCAACAGTGCCAAGTGTGAGAAATCCCAGGCCAGAGAAAAGACATTTTCTCCACCCTCTCCCCCCACATGCTTTGGAGGCCAATGTCCACACTTTCTTTATCCCTCTGATATTTTCTCTCATTTCAATTCCCACCTGTTGACATTTGGGAGTTCCTAACTCCACCCTCCATCAAACTCAGTCTTCCTAGTCTCACTCTGAGTCAGCAGCTAGGGCCCAGCTTCTTCAGAGGATGGCGGGACCGCAGCTCCGGGGGTGCGGGTACCACACGGGAGTCCCGGAGACACACATCCATTGGCCGCATCTTCCTGGAACATTGACTATATCTGAAGGAAGGTCACTGGACATATTTTTATATTTAAGCCAATACTGACACATAGCACAGCGGACTATAAACACCTGCACACAGAAACAGGAACCTTAAAATAAAGCAGGGGAGGGGACTAGTAGGCAAGACACTGCTCTCTGCCTCCAGACTCCCCAGACCTGCAGCTGCTCTTGTTCCCTCACCTGCCAGGCATGGTAGGAAAGAGACAGAACACTGACTGAAGTCCTGAGACAAGACAGGTCCAAGGTCAGGGCTCCTAGGCAGGTCCTGTGCCACATGGCTCTCTAACCAGCTCACTCTGGCTACAGCTCTCATTTACTGATCTCCCAACTGGGGAAGCCTTTCAGGTCATAGGTGAGTGAGAACAAGGGACCCTGGAAATTCTAGACTCTATAGTTCCAACAGGCCAAAAGTTCCCAGACATCTGCATCAATAAAATTATAACTTTCTTAGACCAAAGATGCCAACTTCATATTCTGCCAGTGAGCAAGGATCAAAAACAAACAAAAAAAAACCCTATAATCTATCACCACCACCATTTCAAAAAAAGGTGTTTTAACAACAAAAACATATATAAATGACCTAATTTCAAGATAAAGAACAGTCCTTGCCAAAAAAAAAAAAAAGGGCAGTGAGCAACTTAGCCCACTAAAAAACACATAGTAAGTAATTCAACTATTCAGCAAACGAATGCATACAAACACAGCAGCCTCTGTTTTAGCAAATGTGGCATGGACTCATCATGGCTCCCAGAGCAACAGGAAACCACTGGCTTGTCTGACACAGGACATTATAGCAGAAAGGCTGCAGCAACACAGGCAAGGCTGACAAAAGAGAAGAAATGCAAGCAGAGAAGCCAGAGACCACCTGACGCAGCCCTGACGGTGGCAGGGCCTGGACGTGGCTCAGACACCACAGTCCCTCCCCATGTGGACCCCGTGATCCCTGCCCCAACTAGCACTGACCCCACGACTCTTCAGAACCTGAAGTCCTTCAGGAGACCTGAGCCTTTACAACTGTGTCCACAGTGAGCATTGCCGAGAACTCGGAATAGAGTGAAATAAGACTATGAGCAAAGTGAAAGTATAGAGATCACCCCATGGCAGACCGAAGCGAGGATGTGCAAATGGCCCCCGTGGTCTGAGACTGTCATATGCCCAATCCTTCACTCGCTGCCCGGCCTTTCCTGCCAGGCTGACCAAGAACCTGTGCTTAAAACACAGCCCTCCCATGTGTTACACCATCAAGGGAGCCAGCAGCTGGCTACACAATTCCAGGGGTCATGTGCCCAGGCAGTTTGGGATTGTTTCCCTCGATTAAATGAATAAACTGGCTTTCCAATCCTACCTTTAGTGTCTGCAAGCTCGTTACTGTCAGCACAATGCTGAACACCAGACCCACTCTGGGGGTGCTGTTATCTCAGGCTTTTGAGCCAGGACAGCTCAGGGCCAGACCATGTCCTCTGGCTATCCTCCAAAACTATGACTATCCATGTTGGAGATGTGGGAGCTGGCCAGCTGGCCTCTAGGCTGAGAAAGCACTCACCTGCCTCAACTATATGGGAGTTGAATCAGCCCTACCTAAGGGAAAGTCTCTGTATGTAGAGGTCCCTATCCTGACACAAACTGCTCACCTGCACCATCTGGAACTTGAACCGGCCCCACCTAAGAGCAGGTGTCTTTACCTAGAGGCCCCTATCCCAACACATACCACTCACCTGCATGCTTTGTTGGTACTGCATCTGCAGAGAACCTTGGGCAGAGGTGGAAACATCCAGTCCAGATCCTCCCTCCACTCGCTGAGAAATGAAATTGTTCAAAGACCTCAGGGTGGATAGGACGGTGGTGTTTTCCCCCAGGTCTTCCATGGCCGCTTCCCTTCTGGAGGAAAACAAGGGAAGGGTCACAGGGAGCCTTTTCATGAGCCATTAGCTCTGCCAGCTGCCCGGTCAGGGGGACCTTTGGGCAGTCCCACTCCCCTAATGCTCTCTCAGAGCCCTTATAATATTCCAGTGTCCGTAACCACATTCTTTGGAGTTAACTGGGAGCCCACACTGCCAATTTCTCAGAGAAGAAACGGAGGCATAAAAGTACAACATGCCACCAAGCTGCTGACCATCAGAGTGCTGACCTGCACACCAGGAGGACAGAGAGACGGCTCCCAAGATAAGGTGTTCGACAATCAGGTGGCACATCTCCCACATAAGCAATCACAAAAAGCCTAGCTTCTGGGAATCAGAAACAAAGCACACAATAGTGGCAGTAAGGATGACAACCACAGCAACGCTAATTACAGGTTAACAAAGACATTAGTAAGTGTCACTACTATTTCAGCCACAGGCACCACAAAGAAAGGTACCTGACATTCACTGGGCACCAGGACTTCCTGGGCCTGTCTCCTCATCTGTAAACTGAGGATCCCACTTTTCAAAGTCGTGAGGATTATAAGGGCCCAAGAGAAGTCTCCAAATGGCAGGTGGCACAGCTACTGCCACTGAGTCTGACTATCACTTTGCTTGTAATTTAACATACAATAGACAGATGAATGAGACCTTCTTACACATTCTTCTAGAGATGACAGAAAATGAGGCTCCAAAAGTTACAGAACTTAGATTGGAACCTGGGTCTGTCTGGCTCTAAAGATCGAGGGCGCTCCACAGGCCAATGTGTGAAGGGCCGAGGACACGCAGCAGCAAAGAACACGCATCCCCAGCCCTGCGCTGATTCCAGCCTCACACCAGGCCGTCTACCAGTCAGAAGGTGTGGAAGTGTCCTAGGCAGAGTTAACAGCCAAAAGGTGTGAATTCCTACAGGTGCATACTGTGTTCCCCTGAGGAAAGCAGCCAGCTGTCACTGATTTCCCCTAAGTATCAGACTGAAGACACCTGCCCCCAACCCACCCGCCCCCAAAAAAGGTGAAGAATCTTGGTTTGATTCTGAATTTCACACTCAACAAGAAACTTGGCCTTGGGCACGAAGAGCCCTTGTCTTCTGTAGGCCATCGTTTCCACCGCTGCACAACACAGCTGTTCTACCTCTCCTTCATACTACAAATGGGAAATGGGCTAGAAGACAGACCAGGGCGGGGCACTCACAGTGCTGTGAGCCTCCCTGAGAGACACAGGCCCACGTGGAGCAAGGCAGCAGCGCTCTGCTCTGGAAGGCAAATCCTCCCGTTTGACCAGGGCCATACTTTCCATCCCATGATGGGAAATTTAGCCAATACACCCTCTTCTCAAGAGCTGACGCACTTAATACAACAGAATGAAAAGCACACGTCCACTTTCACCTGCCTGGAACTAAACCACTCCATAAGGCAAGCGATAAGGTGAAAGCTCAAACTCCATCTTCTCTATCAAAGACACTCAAATCTTCCAGAAGTCTAGTCACTGAACGTGAACTGCTCTCAACGGAACCCCTGGGCTGGGAGTCCAGAGCACAGTGCCTCTCGACTGCCCTCCCTGGCAAAAGGACAGCTGAGAGCACCTACAGAAACTACAAGGATGCTCCCCACCCGGCAACACCACCTCACACCGCCATGGGCACTTACGCTGGCCTAAGTTCACCACCCGTTTGTCTGCTTTCTCCTAACTTATACCAGAGATCAAACGAAAGTTCCCGTCCTACTAGCTGCCAGGAGTGCGACTCTGGGCAAGGCGCTTCCCATCTTCCCACCGGTTGCCTTAGCTATAAAATGTAGTGGCAACTCCCACACTGCTCAAGTGAAGACATGCGGGCGACAGTGCTGTCAACTCGAAAGGCCGGAACTGGGGGAAGAGCTCCTCTCTGCACGGGGCCGCCTGGGGGCGGCGGGGGAGGCGGGGCGCGCCTTCTTCCCGGAGGCCGGGCGGTGAAGCACCTCTCCTCCGTGGCCGCCTCCTCCCCGGCCCTCGCTCGCCCCTCGAACCCTGGCCATTTTCATTTGCTCCTCTCGGAGAGGAAGACTTGGGGGGCTGCACGGGACGCGCCCAGGCTCGGAGGACAGCACGGAGCGGAGGGGCGCGCCGGCAGGGACCCCGGCCCCGGTGAGCACGCGGACAGACAGTGGACGCGCCGGTAACAGCCGCAGAGCCGGGGTCTAAGAGGGAAGGGGGGACGCCGAGGGGACGCCGTCTCAGAGCCCCAGGGCAGGGGGCGGCGCCCGCACCCAGACCCGGCGGGCTGCCCCAGCCTCTCCTTCGCCCGAACCCCGCCGATTCGGCTCAGCACCCGCCCCCAAGCAGCCCGGCCCGGCACCCCTCCCGGGACCCAGGCCGCTCACCTAGACGCCTCAGCCTCCGTGCCTCCGTCGCCGCTGCTCAGATCTCCCTCTTTTACGCCCGCGTATCGCGAGACGTACGGCTGCGCTCTCGCGAGACCTGGGCGGGGCAAGCCGTAAAACTCCGGGCCCGCGCACCAACGGGTCCTGGGGCCTTCGTGTTCGCCCCCATAGCCACCTACCGGCAGGAGACCCCGCTCGGAGAGGACTGGGAACCAAAGGCCAGCCCGTGGGACTATCTTGGTGGCCCAGGCCTCCGCGGGTCAGGCTTCCACTGGGCGGCTGCCTCGCACCGCACTGTGGGGAACAGCACCGGCCAACGGTGGCCTCGCAGCGCCAAACTTTCCAGCCCGCCGGATCTTCTAGTCCGCAGATCTTGCCACTACAGTATTTGCCTGAATGAATGCCTTTTTTACTTTCCCCTGGCCCTCTAAAACAACGCGAAAAACCGGTCTACTAAGCTACCCTCCCAGCGCCCTGTGAGCTGTCGGGGCGCGATGCCGTCATCTGGGTCCCAGTTCCCCAGGGCGCAAGGGCAGAGCGGGGCGAGGTCAGCCCACAGCCAGCAGATCCCTCCTGGAACCACAGCAACCTGCGTCCACTAACGGGTCTCACCGGCCCCTCCTCCTTACCTCCCCCTGCTAAGCGCCCGAGGGTCCGCACCGAATTCCCTTCCAGAGAATAAAACTCAAGTTTTTGTGGCCGGAAAGAAACGGGATGGGGAAGTGCAAGCAGGACAGGAGGCTCTCTGGGCTACATTAGCGGGCAGCGAGCGCAAATAAAACAAAATTTAAAAAGTTGGGCCTGCAGCCTACTTCAGTGATCTGGACTACCCTAGGACCCTATGTTGATTCCTGGGTATCTATTCCTTCCCCCAGCGATCCTTCGGATTTGTGAACTAAAACTGCTGCCTGCAGTATCAGTGAATAAAAGACGTTCCGGTCACCAGCCACTACAGCCACCCCCGATGGTGGGCCCAGGGAACTCGGGATGGAAACAGCATGCCCGCCGTCAGACACTGCAGCCACCACCTCACCGCCCCTGCCACCCCAACGGCACACCGAGGAAACTCAGGAAGAGAAAACATAGGACGCTGGCCCCAGAGAGCTGAGGTGCACATCAAAGAAATGATTTCAGTGACCCCCGACTCTGGCATCTTCCCAAACGTAGAAAAGCACTAAATTCCTTAACTTGAGATGTCTTGCTTTTCTTTTGTTAACAGTGATCATTTGATATTCCAACTACCTGGTCTTTGCTGCTAAAACTCCTATAGATCCTGGCTCCCACCTTGCCTCTTCGGAGCAATCTCTCAGAGTTATCTGAGATGCTGTGTCCGGGCTTAAGTCCTCAGTTTTGTCCACCAAATAAAACATAACTCTCAACTTTTAGGTGGTGCGTTTTTTTTCGGTCTACACATTTAATCATCATTACAATCAATAAACTCTTCTTAAGAGATGAGCACACCTCCAGGAAATGGTTTTGAAGAAATTAATTTTTCAAAAGATGAACTTAAAAACATGGAATTCCATAAAATAATACAGCCTATATTGTTTTATAAAGTTGCATCGAGTTCCTGGAAGAGTAAAAGGAAATAAACGAACACACCACTTCTCTGCTTGCTTTGAAACTTACCTTTAAGTCTTTGGAGGCTGGAGTATTACAGCAACAATTCCAGTGAAAAAACAAAGCACACCCATCCCATGCATAATTCATACCAAATGTCTTCCCTAATTGTTCTGAGAACTCTCACTGCTTGAATGGATGTATTTCCAGATCATTCGCCAGAGAGATGGACACAAATCCCGACTGAAATTTCAGATTTTTTCTACATTACACGGTAAACCCAAAATAACACCTGGAAACTTGTGGGTTGTTTTGGAACAAGGGTGGAAGCCTGTTTCTCTGTAACATACTAACATGGGTATGAAGAGAAAGTTACATAAAGGTGTCCGTGTGTATGTTTCTCTGCCTCCCAGTGTTTTTTGTTTGTTTGTTTGTTTTTTGCGGTACGCGGGCCTCTCACTGCCGTGGCCTCTCCCGTTGCGGAGCACAGGCTCTGGACGCGCAGGCTCAGCGGCCATGGCTCACGGGCCCAGCCGCTCCACGGCATGTGGGATCTTCCCAGACCGGGGCACGAACCCGTGGCCCCTGCATCGGCAGGCGGACTCTCAACCACTGCGCCACCAGGAAAGCCCGACTGCCAGTGTTTTTATCCTTCCCTCAGTCTGCCTTCTCATCCTTTAATCTTTGCCTATCTCTTCCTCTTCACGAATCATGTTATAGAGACTTTTTTATCATATGTCTTGGACACTGAATATAGTTTTGTCATATCTTTTGGGCTTAAAAAAAGGTCCCCCATTTGTCCTGCCCACTGCCTCCCAGATCAAGCTCGGATCTCCCCAGACACACTTCAGGAAAGGGCTCAAGCTACATTTGCAGTGAAAAAGAACCAGAAACAGCAGAAGAAACTCTCATTCCTTCACAGACCTTCCCCCTTCCCTCTTCGGTACTGTGTGGCCAAGAGGTACACCTCTGATGATTCCTTCCTGCTGGCTTCAGGTTTTACAGTCCTTGTTTTCTGGAATTCCTCTGTCAGTCTCTTCTGTAACCGATGGCTCTGACCTCCAGCCCAGGTTTTACACAGGAATGTTCCCCCAGGGTGCAGGACTTCAGGAGCCACGTCCAGAAGGGACAAGCACAAGCTGATGAGCCTGTCGTGGTCGAGGCCGCGGATCCCTGTGGCGTTGGGTGCCATGTCACTCAGAATCACATCTGCTTTCCCAGCAGGAAGCAGTTCTCGGATTCTCTGGAAGGTTCTTGGGTCGGTCACATCGGCAGGGCACAGAAAAGTTGCTCCTTCCAGGGGGAAGACGTGAAGGAGATCGACCCCAAGCACAAAGCCAACAGGAGCACTGGGATCTAAGGAAGAGACGGTGACTCTGCTTATTTACACCCTGAATCTTCCCACAAAAAATAAATGCAACAAAATAATAAAATAGAAATAAAAAGTCAGGACCGAGGAAAAGAGCTAATGTGCAAATATGTGGACACAAGCCTTTCCCCACTTTCTATACATCCTACAAAAACACGTGGTGGGGAGTGGTGGTCCTTCTACCTCTGAGGAAACTGAGGCCCAGAGAGGAAAAGTGACTGTCCCAGGGGACAGGCAGACCTGGGGACACACCCTGGGCCCTGACACCGTCTCTGATTTCATTGCACTCGCTGAGCCTTGCTCTCCATGAAAGGGCTTTTATCTCTGAGCACTCTTTTTGACAAACTGAAACAGAAAATGACACACCAGTATACAAAGTGCCTCTGGATTAAATCAACAAATCCATTCTGCAGTTTAATCCAATTTCTTTCAATGTAGAAACTATCAGAAACAAGCCAAGAGAGGGGGAAAACGGACAAATGCAAAATAAGGTAAAAAAATTTGATACCCTGCCCATATTTGAGTGATGCCAGTGGTGAAAGAAAAAGATGTTATTGTTTCACCTCACCTGAAACAAGGTTTCCTGCCGGCACGGCCGCTGCCCCCAGGTTCCACCTCCCTTCCCTTCCCTTCCTGTTCCAAGCTCCCCTCTTCACAAGCCCTGGGGGCCCCTCCCTGCACCACCCCTACACGCCAGGCTCCCTGCATGCCAGGGTAGATACAGGCTAGATACATGAAGGGAACAGACTCTTGTAGCTCACTCGGCTTGGTAGAAAACCTGCGCCATGGGTGGGGGGCGGGGTGCTTTATCTCTATCTAAAGGTTGGAAGTCCAGGTATTCTGCAGAATACCTCATTTTTCAAAGGCAAAAGCTCTCCATTCTCAGCTCTGGCAAGTGGGGCATCTCTCGTTCCATTTTATACACTTCCGGTGTCTCCTTTAACGTCCCACATACTACAGCCCCAGGAAGTGCCCTCTAAAGACAAATGGCTTTGGTTCCATTTTTGCAACTTCTGGGAGTAAAAGAACCCAAACCATTTGATCCACACACTCTTTGCTTCTGCCACCTCTTCCTACAAGTTAAACTTCGGCATTTTCCTGCTTCTACTGAAGAGAAATTAGGGGGACAGGCACCACTAAAATCAGTTGTTAGGAAGTCTGTGGATAGACTCAGTGGTGGGAAAAGGAACAGAAGTTTCTGACTCATTCATTCACTTAGCTGATAAATACTAAGCTCAAAAGAAATTTTTTTAACTGTTTTTAAGGTGTCTGGGAGAGATCTTTGTGAACTTCACATGTGTCATAATGCCAGTGCATGTGGTACCCTCAGACTTCACAGCAGGAAATACAAGTGGTAAGGATCGTTACCACAGCACTGCACACCCAAAAGCAACCTTGGTGCCCAAGATGAGGAGACTGTAAACACCAACAGTACAACCGTTATCTGGAATACTAGGCAGCTGTTTCAAAGGATGGCACAGTTTCCTGCCTTGCATAGTTAGTTGATCTATTAGTGAGAGGAAACTTTTTTATATAGACGATCTTAGTCAAAACCCCTAAATGTAAAACAGATAAAAGCTAAGTCCCTCAAGTTGAGCCAAAGTGGGGAATCCAGAGCCACGAGGGCCCCCCCGGGCAGCCCCAGGAGCACCTCCAGGAAACCCAGGGCTTCAAGGACCAGGACCTGGAAACCCCTGAGGCTGATTCAGTTGTACTGTCATGGAAAGACATCAATAGATCAGTCAGGTGATTTTCATTTTCATTATCCCTTTCTACCCTGTCTCTCACTTTGAAAATGTCAGTGTTGTATCATTCCTCCTAAACAACCACGCAGAAGCATGTGCCTTCACAGGGTGGCTCAGCTGCTCTGCATCCCCTGGCAGAGGGCAGCGCCTGCGTCTAAACCACGGTGGTCAGGAGGCCCCACCTGTGCCTGCAGCGTTGACACTCTGCACAGCCACCTGGCTCCACGCGCCAGGAGCGGCGCCACAGTCTAACACCCGGAGGCCAGGCCGCAGAATCCGGTGCCTCTCGTTCACCTCCAGGAGCTTGAAGGCACTTCGACACCTGTAACTCTCCACCTTCGCAGCCTTCACAAACAGGTCCCTCAAATGCCGCATCAGCCATAGGTGCTCAGCGCCGGTCCGGCCCTTGAAGCAACTCCCACCGGTGTGGAACCTTTGACGCTGAAAGGAAGCCCACGCCAGCTTCAAGGACCTGGTGAGGAAAAGGGAGCAAGCAGGTTGGCACTGCAGAGACCAGCAGGTCAGGAGCTCGCTGGGGCCCCAGGCTCAATCCGCATGTTTTCAGAGACGGGACAGTGCGGCCCAAGAGGAAGAGGGGACTTGACGAGGCCCCACAGCCAGAAAGAAGGTGTTACGGGCTGAACCGTATCCCCCCGAAGTCTCTACGGTCAAGTCCCAACCCCCAGCACCTCAAGAGGTGGCTGGTCTTTAAATGAGGCAATTAAGGTAAAATGAGGTCACATGGGTGGGGTCTAATCCCATATGACTGGTGTCCTTGTAAGAAGTTGTTAGGACACACGGACACACGGACACACACACACACACACACACACACACACACACACACACACACACACACACACACACACACACACACACACAGCAAAAACCACATGAAGACACAGGGAGAAGATGGCCGTCTACAAGTCGAGATGTCCCAGGAACCAACCCTGCTGACGCCTTGATTTCAGATTTCCAGCCTCCAGACACTGAGCCAGAAACTTCTGCTCTGTAAGTCGCCCGTCCTGGGTGCTGGTTTATGGCAGCCGGAGCAAGCTCCTCCAGCAGGCCTCGCCCCTTCAGCCCAAAGGTGTTTTTTTCCCTCCTGAAGTTTTCTTCAGGAAAACTCAAACGTTAATGGTAGTCACTTTGTTTGTGTCACCCAAAGTTTTCCCAAGACTGGTTAAAAATGCTGATAAAATTAATGAAAGTAACATTCTTTCCCAGCGGATAGAAATTTCCGCTGGACTTTGAGAAAACCCCGTGAGGACAGGTCCTTCCCTTGCTTAGTTCCATGGCTTTGGCGGCTAGTACAGGGTCTGACTGGCCTGTCACATTTCTTAAAAAAACTGAACTCACCCTGTGTGTGAATGAAGCGCAATTTCCAAGCCTCTTAGGGGAAGTGGGGTTGTTAACAGCTTACCAACTGCGAGCTAGCCACACCTCCCTTCATGTAAGTCTCAGCGCAACCCGACAAAGGAAGCTCTGCGTCCTTTCTTCTGATGAAAAAGGCTGCCATTAGCCCCAAACTTTTGGCTAGCAGCCAAAAGTTCCTTCAGCATGAAAACATGGTGACAAGATTTGGAGACAATAACGTGAGAACTGCTGCCTTTAAAAGGCGTAAAGAGTCTCGAGGAAAGAGGACACAGGGTGGTCCTGGGCGCCAGAACTAATCCCACCGGTCAGCGGAGGCGTGGAAAGCGGAGTTACACGCCCCGAGCCCACCTGATCTGGGCAGCGGGCTCCAGCCCCATCCCAGGGCCTGGATTCAGCAGGCTTCAGGCTTGCGGAGCTCTACGCAGCTTCACCTCCACCCGCCTCTCCCTTCCTAAAGCCCCCTCCAGCCCCTCCCCGCGAGCCTTCGCCGACCGTCCGCTTCGTGCTGGCAGGTCTCCCCTAGTCACCTCGTCGGGGCTGACCCTCTCCGGGCCTGGAAGAGGTGGGCTCTGCGCCCCTTTTCGGACCGGAAACCTGGGGCAGGCCCCTGGCCCCTCCGCCTCCCGCAGGCATGCAGTAGGTGCTCCACAAATGCCGGCTGAGCGCCAGCCGCCGCGCCCACCGACCGCCCCGCTCGCCGACCGCCCCGCTCGCCGACCGCCCCGCTCGCCGACCGCCCCGCTCACCTGGCCATGAACGCCGACCTGCTCCAGCTGCCGCCACCGGAAGTGCCTGTCTCACTTCCGGCCAGAGACCACGCCCCCGGAAGCGGCGCGCGGGTGGGAAAGGCGCGTGCAGAGCCCGGGAGCGGGTAAGTCCGGGAGCGGCGCCACGGGAGATGGGCCTGCGACCTGCCGGGGAGCGCCCGGTGGGCGGGGGCGGCTGGAGACCGAGCACGGACAAGGCCCCAGACACGGGAGTCCGAGCTTGGCGCTCGACTGTGCGTTGTCTTTAAACTCTAGTCGCGGGCCTCGGTGTACAGGCGACCCCGCTGAGAGGCCACCCGGCTGACACGGGGCGCTGCCCGACCCCTGACTTTAGGCGGGCTCTTTGGGGACCCGTCTGATGGTAGAACCAAGAGCTGTAGCCAACTAGACTTCAACGTGCGGTAGACGCAGGTTTGGGTACCGGCTCCGGTATTCGATTTGGGGTCAAACGTAGCCTCTCTGAGCTTCAGTTTCCTTGGCTGAAAATGGAAAAGGTAAGTGTCAGGTCAGAGTTGTTGGGTCTGTTAAAGGGGATAATTTTGGGGAAGTATATAATCAGTGCCTAATCACTGACAGCTGACAGTTCTAGCAGCAGCAGCAGCAGCATCCCAGTTACCTTAGGAAGCCAGGGCTTTGGACGCGAACAGGTCGGGGACATGACAAAGTCCGCAGACTAAAGGGAGGCTGGACCACAGAGACCCACCTCTCCTGCCTGACCTACCGCCAGCACCAGGACCCAGGCCTAGGGCCCTTTTCTCAGACACCGTAACTTCCCAGGAGGATCGCTGGTCCTGAATCCTGCATCTTGTCCAGTGTGGGCCCCAGACTGGGGTGGGGATGGATCGACAGCTAACTTGGTCCTGCTCTTCCAGCATTTTTCCAGCAGGTGACCAACGTCACTCTCCGAGTCTTTCTCTGGGCCACACAAACCCATTCGAGCAGGAGAGGCCCTTGGGCTCCAGCACCAGGTCCCAGAGCAGCAACAGTTGTGAGCAGAGTGTGAAGACCTGTCACAGGAGTGGGGACTAGCCAGGCCTCTCTGGGTGGACTCTCCACTGTCAGGAGCCATGCATTTCTTGAGAATCTGGGGGTCTGCTTTTGCAGAGAGGCAGAAACCAGAACACAGTAGGCCAAAAGAAGGCCCCATAATGAAAAGGCCAAGGCCAAAAGCCAGACCCAAGAACCGCTGGGTAAATTGCATGGTTCTCTTGGTGCCTGGTGGGCTCGGGGCCTGGACACAGGAACAGGAACAGCCCTGTGCCAAGGAGTGGGGAGGGGAAGGGATGGGCCATCATCTGACCTGCTGCATCAGCCCAGTAAGCAAAGGGCCTGGGCACTGATGCCCCTGGGTTCTGGGGACCAGGCCTCTGTCTACCCCAGAAAACCTGCTACATGTGGCAGAGCTGGGACGTTGCCTCTCCGTGCCTTGCAGAGCACATTTCCTGTCCACCCGGCCCCTGGCCACCGCAATACACACGCTTCCGTCCACACCCAGGTCAAGCTGACCCAACCCCTTGCCTTCCCTGCAGAACCCAAGGGCACCATGTGTGCCTCGAGGCTCTACACCTTGGTATTCGTGCTGCAGCCTCAGCGAGTCCTCCTGGGCATGAAGAAACGAGGCTTCGGGGCCGGCCGGTGGAACGGCTTCGGAGGCAAAGTTCAAGAAGGAGAGACCATCGAGGATGGAGCCAAGAGGTGAGGGGAGGGGCAGGCCCGACCTCAGAACCAGCTTCCGCAGGTGACAAGGTTTCGGGCTGTAGAGCCAGGCCCCTGACTTAACCACTTAGAGCCACGTGACCTGGAGCCCAGACTGAATCCTTGAGCCTCGGTTTCTTCATATGCAAAGTGGGGATAATAACAGTACCTACCTCTTAGGACTGTTGTGAGGATTAAGTGAGAAAATAAACATAAGGGACTGAGCGAGGCCTGGCACGTGGTCTGTGCTCAGTACACATTAGCTGCTGCTCTGCAGTCGTGGTTTTTAGGACATATTTGGGAAGCTGCTGTGCAGTGGCTTGGGTAGAAAAATCCTGGCTTCCTCTTTCTAGCCAAGGGACTGGCCAGTCACTGGGCTCCTTCCTTTGTTCAGGGGAGCTGGTGACGAGCGTGTCTGGGAGCTTCCGAAGCACAGTCTCAGTTCTTCCTTGACACACCCACTTTCATATGGGAAGAACTGAAGCCCAGAGAGATTGAGCAGTGTGCCCGAGATCACACAGGCCTCCAGACTGCAGCCCCTTTGCCTCCCTGCCCCTCGCAGGCTTGTTTGGATAAATCCAACCTCCTGTGTCATCCACTGAGCCCCACGCGGTCTGGCCTCGGCCCCTCGCTCCCATCCCTGCCCCCCCGGACATCCCAAGCTGTCGTTGCCCACCCACTCTTCCTGGCTCCTCCTCTGGCTGACCCCTCCGCGGCCTTCACGTCGGAGAAGGTGCCCCTCCCCAGCTCTTCTCCGTAGGCCTCTGGACTTCCTTCACAGAACCGCCACCTTTCTGATCACACCAAATCACGCCCTCTGTCCGTCGTGAGGCCAGGACTGAAGACCTTTTGTAAGTCAAGTTTGTACTGAACTATAAAGTACATGTAGGAAAATGCCAGTCTTCATCAGGGAATTTTTAAGAAATGCGTCCATCATTTAACCAGCACGTAAATCAAGAAATGGGACTGGAGGGTGGACCCTGCCCCCGGGGGGGCAGCCCGCACCCTGACTTGTGTCACAGTTGATGGTTTGGCCCATTCAGAAATACCCTGTAGAAAGAGCCTTGCGGCTGTGGCTTCTTCCCGGTATTATGTCTGCATGTGGCAGTGGTCCAATCCGGTTTATGAACACACTGCAGCCTGCTCATCCTGCGTGTGGGCTTTTGGGCCATTTCCCGGTTCGAGTTGCAAGTGCTGTAGCTGTGGACGGTCCTATACGGTCTTTCCGGTGGATGCTCCCCTCAAGAATTCGAGGTGTTCCGCCTTAGCACATACTGCCAAACAGTTGTGCTCATTTAAAGTCCCGCCAGCAGTGTATGAGATCCGCTTCCTCCAAATCCTCAGCGACACCTGGCATCTTCTGTCCTTTCACCTGAGCCATCCCGGCAGGTGTGGTGATACCTTGTGGCGGTTTTAATGTTTGCCCCGGTGACTAATGAAATTGAGCCACCTGCTCAGCGTCGTGGGCCGCTGGCGTTAAACTCGGTTCAGCCGAGCAGACGCCGCGCTGGGCCCTGCAGTCTGCCCTCCAGACACTCGCTGGACCACCAGAAGGCACTGGAGCGGCGGCCCCGTGACCCCCAACCTCACTCCTCTGTGCCGACCTCCCCACAGATCGCAGAGCTGTCCTGAAATCGATGACTTTCTGTTGTCCTTCAGGCTTGCTTACTGCTTTATTATCAAGGTCTCAGTTACCCTCTTAGAGCCTCGTGATTCTTTGCCCTTCCGAGGCCTCGTCCAGCAGGTGGGGCTGTGGAGGGCGCTTCCTCCCAGGCCGCCCTGAGCTCCGTTTTGATACCCAGGGGGCCTTGAGGGCACACTCAGCCCCTGCAGGCAGCGTGCCCCACTGGGGGGCATCCTCTCCACAGCCACAGGGCACTAATGGCCTCCATGCTCTGCCCGGGGGCCCTTCCTTAAGGCAGGGTTGGCCTTACCCTGAGACTGAGGCCAGAAGTGCACCATCCAGGGCCCACACCGCCCACCTGATGTAGACCAGTCTGCCTGTGACCGCATGGCACCACGGTGGCACCCAGGGCCTGTGGGTCAGCTCCGGGCAGCTCTCTCCAGGAGCCCCGTGTCCTCTCCCCAGGGTTCCAGCCTGGGTGTAGGATGGAGCCAAGTGTCAGGACCACCCCGACAAAGGACTGTTGAGCCCCTGCAGGGGGGTCGGGATGGGTGGCAGGTTCTAATGCACGGGGCGCAGGCTGAGACCCACCCCAGGGCCCTGGGACTCCAGCAGCAACAGGGCTTCACCCACTTTGGGGATGACTCAGCCGTCAGCCCCAGGCCCCTAGGGCAGCTCTAGCCTCTTTCCATGCACATGTGTGGGGCTGGTGTGTGGGGCTGCTCCTTAGGCCCCAGGCCCTGGCTGTCCTCCCCCCGACGAGCGAGGTCACGGCAGCCTTGGGGGTATCTGGTGCACTGCGCTTTAGGGTCCCAGGGTGGGCCCCACTTCAACAGCTGGGTTAACGTGCCAGCAGACTCAGGTGGCCGAGAGACTGGTTGTCCCTTCCTCTGTGCTGGACGTCCTTGGGGGGAAGCCATCTGAGCACCGAGGAAGATGCATCCTTCCTCCTGGGGGGTTGCAGGGAGTTGCAGGCACCTGGGGACCCAGGGTGCCTCACAGCCAGGTTTCAGCTTCGGGTGTGGAGCATGCCCACCTTTCTGGCCAGCACCCGCAGAGCACCGTGTTAGAGAACTCTGGAAGGCCGTGCGGCCGGTGGGCCCCCCGAGCTGCACCGCAGGCTCCGGACCGCAGGGCCCCCGTGCCCCCTGCCGTGTGGGGAACATCCCAGAGATGGCAATCAGACACGTCAGCAAAACTGGATCAGTGTCACCCCCGGCTGCCTGGTTATCCCAGCCCGAAACAAGCTCAGCTCTGCCTGCGAGGGCATTATTGACATTTCATACACTACCGTGGACTCCCGGAAGATGAGCCAAAATTAGTCAAAACATTAAATCAGCAGGTGACGTTTTTAAAACGAGCTTGCCAGCCTGCTGCCGAAGGCTTCTGTTACATTTAATTGGGGAGCCATTTCCACCCCGGCAAGTGAAAACACACGATCATTTTTTTAGGTCGTGTCTAAGTTTAATTAACCATCTCAATGAATAAATTCCAGCTTCCAGAGCATCACCTGGGCTGCATCTGAATGGCAGCAAATGGATACAGTTCCTCTCCGGGCCTCACAGGAAGGTTAGGGCAGATTCCAAGCTCAATAAGGCGTCCGTTTAAATAAGACCGTTTAACCCAACACACGTGTTTAACAAACACTGGTTTCCCTGACTCCTCATTACAGGCAACAGGAAGTAATTATGCGTTGTGTTCCGAACGTAACTCAGAGATCAAAGCTTAAAAAGACCTTTTTTTAACCTACCACTCTAAATAGTCAGGTATAATTAGGATGTTTTTACAGCAACAAAAATAAATACGGGGCAGTAGAGAAGTGAGACTCTAGCAGGAGATACAGGTGCTGAGCTTCACGGGTGCAGGGCTCGTGGGGTCCCCAGAGTCCCGAGCACAGCAGAACATCCAGAAAGCGCTTGCCAAGGATGGAACGAGACGCAGGATGATGGCGGCGGGGCAGCCGGTGGGGTGAAAGGCTGGTGGCAGACGGTGTGTACGAGGATGTTCATCACGGCGGGGTTCGTGATGAGCAAGGTGGGACTTTTATTCTATGATACACAACAGCCGAGAAGCTGGTTGAATTCCTTGAAGTGTAGAACGTGGCTCTGCAGTGTTGTGTGAAAAGCACAGGTACAAGGTACGGGCGGCATGTTTGCAGTTCTTAAAAGGGTTGCACAAAGGAGAAAGAGCAAGCGGGAGCAAGGGTTCCTGCCGGGTGAGGAGTCCCTGTGTGTCTGCTAGATTGTCTACAATGGATATGTAGCTTGGGGAAGCATTGTTAAATTGAGGGGGAGGAGTCCCGGTTCTCCTTGTGAATCGCCCGGCACTTGTATACTCAGGTGGGGAGATCAGCCGCTGACCCCTTCCTACAAGCACGGGTGGTTGAGCTGGGGGAAAGGGTCCTGAGAAGGGGGTACACAGCGAGACAGGCCCAAAGCTCATCCCCTACCATCAAGCGTGGCTGAGGTGAGCTGGCTGGGGTGGGGCCTGTCTCCTTGGTGAAACAGGAGTTAAAACAGCCCCTTCTCTGGGGAAGAGACAGTAGAAACCTGCAGTCTGCTCCTGAGCTCTGAGCGGGGACAGGACAGGGCAGAATTCTCTGGGCAGGAGGACTTTGGCTCAGGGCCGGGTTCCAAGGGCTGCAGCCCGCAGAGCACCACGCACACGTGACGGCCTCAGGGAGAGCCAAGCAGGACAGGTGGGGCCTCCTGGCTCTAGCACTGGCCTCCCGTGGGACCTCCGAGCAGCTGAGCTGGGCCAGGCCTGACCTGCCACGTGGTGCGCCCAGGGTGCTCAATTACAGAGGTCTGGCTGCCCCTAAACAGCGATCCCTGAACCCGAGCCCTTGGCCACATGTACACACTCCGCCCCTCCATCCTCCCAGCACCATTCTCGGGTGCCGCACGGGCGTGGGCGCCTTGCGTTAACTGTCACCTTATGTCCGGGTGCGTCCATCCGCCTCTGCCCACAGGGAGCTGCAGGAAGAGAGTGGTCTGACCGTGGACGCGCTGCAGAAGGTGGGCCAGATCGTGTTTGAGTTTGTGGGCGACCCCGAGCTGATGGACGTGCACATCTTCTGCACAGACAGTGTCCACGGGACACCAGTGGAGAGCGACGGTGAGTCTCGGGGCTCGTCCCTTCATGGCGGGTGAGAGGGAGACAGGTGACGAGCGGCACGGCAGCCCTCCCCTCCCCCAGGGGCAGGTGCTGAAACACACCAGCACCAGAGCCTCCCTACTCTTCTGTAAGATAAGGGATACAGCCACAAGGATTAAATGTGAAAGTATGTCAAGTTCCTCACACAGAATAACTCAGTAATTCCTCGCAAAAAGTCAGTTTAAAATCTGGATTGAATATCGATGACTGTTCCTTTTCACTGACTTCAGAAATGCGCCCCCAGTGGTTCCAACTGGACCAGATCCCCTTCGCTGACATGTGGCCCGATGACAGCTACTGGTTTCCCCTCCTGCTTCAGAAGAAGTTGTTCCGCGGCTCCTTTAAGTTCCAGAGTCACGACACCATCCTGGACCACAAGCTTCGCGAGGTGGACACAGTCTAGGACAGAGCTGAGCTCGTCCCTCGGGCCGTGAGACTCCCTGCCCAGCCAAGCTGCGGCTCCAGGCTCAGCACACCGGCCGGGCCTCCAGTCTGTCTGGCGCATGATTGGATGGAAAGGAAAATAAACCTCTTTTACCTTTTCAGCATTCCTCACCGGGCCTCACAAAGTCCCATCCTCGGGGAGCCGCCAGATGTGCCTGGCTGTGACCTGCACCACCGGACAGAGATGGGGGGAAGAGACACAGGCGCAAAAGGGGAGGGGACGGCTTTTCGGACGTCCCACGGGGGAGAACTGGTGTGGGAGGCCCGGCGTAGGTGTGTGCGGGGCCGCGGGACCCCAGGGGTGGGCTAGAGGCCGTGTCCTCCTCTCACCACTCCCCTTACGGGGAAACCGAGGCGCGGTCAGGGCCCAGGGCTCCAACCCCCGTCTAATGTACCATCACTTGGTCGCCCTCCCTCCCCCAAGACAGGCTGATCTCGTCCTGGTTTCTGACCCTGGGGAGGGGGCTGGGGGGTACCAACCACTCACACAAAAACTTCACAACTTGACCCAACTTTTATAAACACGTTTAATGATAGTTGTTCACTGTAAGTTCAGTGATAAAAATCTCGGAATGCAGCTCATTTGTAAACAATTCCAGTTAACCGGGTGTGATGGTCATTGATCCCTGCAGCCGTATAAAGTGCTTCATACATAACCAGACTCAACGCAAAGCAAGAGGAAAGGCCTGAGATACAGAACCGTCCTGACCTCCGGCAGCCCGAGCCCCGTGTCCCCACGGCAGCCTGCCTTGGCCACGTCCTCCCTCCTCCCCACTCTGCGTCTTCGCCCGCTGACTGGAACGTCGCTGTGGGTCACCACCGAGTCAGCTGGACACAGGCTGGAGGGACGTGGCCCGAAGGCACACGCCTTGGGCCAGGCTAAGGCAGTGGTGAGCCGCACTCAGCCCTAACGGGACGGGAGCGACCGAAGGGCTCCCATCGGGAAAACGGAACCAGACGTCCTTTCACAGGGCTGTGACCAGGCTCTCCCGGGCGCGAGGAAAGCTCGGACGCAGAGGTGTGCGTGGCCCACCTTGGAGCTGGAGCAGCCTCTCCTCCCCCTCCCCTAGCAGACACTGAGCAGAAAACCCTGCCCACCGAGCCTGGGAACCCAGCGGCCGCCCAGGTGGAGGGCAGACGGGGAGCTTTGTGGAAAAGGTGGCTCTGCGCCCCCAGCTGCCACACGAGGGGCACACGGTCATTCCAGCATCTTCCCACTGACCCCTTTCCAGCACCTCGGGTGGGGGGAGCAGGTGGACCAGAAAGTGCCCTGCAGGTGAGCCTCTCAGGAAGAGCAAGGCCAGGCCTCCAACCAAGAACGTGCTCCTGGTTTCCACGCAGGAGCCAGTCCCGCCAGGAGGGTTCTTTCCTGGAAAGTGCATCTGATGTCTTTGGTGTCAGAGCTCTCCCTGGTGACCCGTCTGGGGAGGGCAAGCCTCAACCTGACCGGGAAGACGCTCCCCACCCTCCGTGCCGCTGCGCCACCACCCACCACGCGGCCCGGGCGTCTCCCCTGCTCTCCGTCGTCCCGTGGCCTCGTGTCCCTCACCACCCACGGACAGACCTCGGGGGTAAGCAGCCACCGCCGCGGGGCCAGGAGAGCAGAGAGGCCTGTGGTCAACGCTCTACGGCTCAGGCGTACACAGCACCTGGGGACCAACCTGCCGGGCAGCACAGAGCCACTCAAAGTGGTTGGGAACCCGTTTCTCCACAGAGGGATCAAAACTCAGAAGCAGCCCACAAAGGGGCAAATGGCACCGGCGGCCCCTGCTGGCCAGGCTCCGGGGGCATACCGCCCCTCTGCTCGTCCTCCAGGAGACCGGCCAGCCCGGCACAGGAAGGCACACGTTGGCTGCCGTGGGGCTCCAGCGGGGTGGGGTGCAGCCGGCCTCCCCGCACGCCTGTGGCTTTGCTGGCACAGGCAGAATCCACGTGTGGGTGAGCCCAGGCCCCGGTGGGCACACTCACTTTGCCCTGGACTGTAACGTGTCAGCTCACCAGGGAAGCCTGCCTGTCACCCAGAGCCTCTGGGTCCCACGTGCGTGCCTCACACCGAGGGCAAACCCCCAAACCAGGCACGTGTTGCAGGAAGGCAGGGGTCTCAGAGACCCTCCGGTGCAGTCGACCTCCTCCAACGCCCTCCCAAGCCAGTGAGAACCGTGAAGGACGTGGGGCACTTACACAACAGGGATTCAGGGCAGGACACACCCGGGCCCCAGGCGGACATGAGCCCACACGGCTCCAGACGGCCGCCCCCTCGGAGCAGGCTCTGGGCCGGCAAGCGTGGCAGGGAGGCTGGACGGAGGGTTCCTACTGCCCCGAAGAAGCGAAGTCGGTGTAACAGAGGGTCACCAGAGCGACACAGATCCCCCCGCAGAGCCCACTGCCCTGCCAGCCTCGACGCTCACGGCGTGGCCTCCCAAGGACAGACGGGCAGCCGCCTGCACCTGGACAGACGGCGGAAGCATCGGTTCACGGACCTCCAGACGCTTTGGTCCCCACTTTGTCCTCCACACCTCAGACCGCCGGGCACACGACAGGGTTGCAGTGTGAGCGTGCACACGTGTACGTGCCATGGAGGGAGGGACACAGACACCAGGGCCGCCAGGGCTCACAGTTTGGGCCCAGGGACCCTCGGGCCCCCGCTCGCACGGCCAGGGCTGTCTGCGGGCCGCAGAGGAAGGTCTCGCTGGCCAGTTCCGTGTCAGACACGGCCACCGCCGTCCGACAGCAGCACGCCGGCCGCGGAGCTGGTCCTGCCCCCGTCCCCCCACTCAGCTATTCCAGAACCCTCCCGACTGTTCTAGCACATGGGCCCCGGCACACGGCCCCCTGCACGATCTGCTGTGTGCAAACCATCCCTGCTGCCTCGCCCTCTGTGGGTCCTGGGAGAAAACCATTCCAGGGACTCTCAACACTCTCGCCACCAGACTGACGGGCCACGGTGTGCATCGGGAGGGCCGGGCAGGGTCGAGGGCAACCGGGACAGACCCCGTGTGGCCGCGGCTTCCGTGGACGCCCGGCGGCCTAGCGTGTGTCCTCGGCCTTGCTCCCCGCGAACAGAGGGGAGCCACGGCCACCGGGACCCGGCCCCACCCTGCCCGGTCATCAGCTCTTCCACAAGGGGCTGCAGCCCAACGCTGGGCCCCCTCGGGGTCGGGGCAGCCACCACATGATGGGAATTAAACAGGAACACACCATTTGGAAAGAAGTTTTAGTGAGGGCACCGGAGCTGCCACCCACGTCCTCCCGGCACTAGTGAGAAGACAGGCCGTCCTGCGGGGACCTTGGTAGGCTTGGGGTGCCGTGCGGTCCACCGAAGAGGCACTGTAGCTTGGGCTGCAGGTCGTTCCACACCTTGCTCATCTGTAGGAGGAAGGGGCAGGGCGGGGTGAGGAGATGGCGGCCGCCTGCGGCCTGACGCACCAGCTCTCTCCTCCTAAAATGCCCACGGAGAGAGGAGACACCCGTGCAGCCACGCCAGCGCACGTGTCACCTCCCGCAGAGCTCCCAGAGTTGGGCGGGCCGGCCTTCCCACCTGCGTCGCAGCCCAGCGCTCCGAAGACCCCTCCACAGACCAGACCAGGTAAGGGCGGACCTGCAACCAGAGGTCACGGTAGCCGGTGCCACCGCCCCGGCACAGGGACAGAAAGGCACAGGTCTGCTCGACGTAACAAATGTTATCACTGGGTTGCTCCCTCTGACAGGTCTGCAGGTGCCGGCCTTCTGACTGGCTCAGAGGCCAAGACAACGTCCACCAGAGGAACACAGAGATGGGCAAAGCGAGAGCAGGGCGGCCGCCACCACAGCTCCCGGCCCCAGGCGTCTGCGAGAAAGGAGGCTGAGCAACGAGGCCCGTGTCCGAGGCCAGCACTGGGGCAGCGGGGCTCGCGTCACAACAGGAAGCAGCATGGCCCTGGGAACGTGCGGCGAGAGCAGAGCCTAGTCCCCGAGTTTCGAAACCGGGGCACTCACGAGTCACCCGCAGCGGAGAAATCCAGGATCACGTCAGGAAATGTCCCCACCGACCGCCCGGACCTGCCCGGGAGGTCTCACCAGCGTGCAGCCCTACCTCCCCCAGCGCTGCTGCTGCCTTGGCCACACCTGCAGGTCCCACACTGTGCCCGAGGGCACCCTGGGCACCCCAGCGAACTCCAGGGGCACCACGAACTATGAGAAACGCTCAAGGGAAACTCAGCATTTGTCACAGGCTACGAGGACCACTGCTCTGACGCTGTCTGGAGCTAAGAACGTAAGAAACAGAACCATTAAAACGGTACTTTGGCCTCGGGCTGCTGTGAAAAGTCACTGAGGCACTAAGAGAAAGTGAAGGAACTTCTGTCTCAGGCGGGCAACATTTCTCACCCATGCCCGACTCCCCTGGCCTCCCACTGAAAGCACAGACCCTTGAGTCCCAGGCCCAGCAAGTCTGAGAGGGATCCGTACACTAACCCACACGCTGACCAGACCCTACAGGCGGCTCCAGCACTATTGGCTCCAGACCGCTCTGGCCCGGCCACCTCCCACCTGGATGCACCATCTCGTGTCTTCCACCCCTGAATCCGCACACCCAGCCACCGCCTGGCACCTTTCCGAACTACAGGTCTGAGCTCTCTCCACGCACTGCTCACAAAAGCCTCCCTGGCCCTCTGGGCAGGGTCGCCAGCTTCCCAGACTGCACTCCGGCCCACCCCCGGGGCCCTGCGTGGGACCCGTCCCCTCCAGCTGGCCGACCTGTCGGGATCTCCCACTCCTTTGGTGTCAGGGACGGCTGCGGGGCAGGCGTGTGCCCATCACGGCCAGAGGACCCGGCACGGAACGACGACCAAGCAGCCCATTTCCACCGAATCCCCGAGCCGGTCTCGGAAGGCTGCAAGGGTCATATTCTACGCGGCTTTTCAGGTAGGGAAACTGGCGCAAAGGTTAAACAACCCAACCAAGGCCGTTCAGAGCTCAGAACTGGTGCAGAGCTGGAAGCTGAGACAGCTAGGACATGAGGTTCAGAGAGTCTGCGCCTACACCACCTCCCCGCCCCCCCCCCCC